CCATTAAGATCACTAAACCAAGTTAAGGCTCATGTATCCTGTAAATTTCCAAAGGTCAAACTTTTTGTTGCTGATGAATGCACCGAAGGTCAACTTTACATATGCATTTGAAATAGACAAAGCAATTTAAACTGCTACAGACAATCAAGGAGCAAAGTGGGACTAAAGCACACCAACTATGTATACTTTATATACATATATGTTCAACAGCGCTACAGTAGACTCTTAAAGATTGAATGTGTGTGCACACACACACCCCAAAAATTACCCCTCTGAAGATACAAAGGAATTAAGGGTATCTAGTAGAAGAACAGATTCTGAATGTGTTGATATTTCTCAAAACTGTGTTCAAATTTAAACCCTGGCACAGCATGGATAAGTGACTCATGGATAATCAAGAAATTAATTAGCACCACACCCAAGATTATATGCTTTATGTCTTCTTCATAATCATAAATTATACAATTTAAGTGAATAAACAGAAAAATATGGACCAAAATTGTAGTATTAATTAATATCACCTAAGATTATTAACCAAGATAGAATTATAATTAAGATGGAAATGATTAATAAAATCTGTTGAATTAAACTTTTAAAATTAGCCTCATCTACTGTTTTCATAATTATATTTTTCAGGCAATTTTTATGTAAAATTGTCAATCTTGTCATATTTAAAACTTGTATAAGATTGTGCTCACTTCGGCAGCACGTATACTAAAACTTGTATAAGATTTGTAAATATATGTCAATTTTTAACCAGTTCAGAAAGAAAAAAAGGTTGAAAAAAAAAAAAGAATCACATAGTAATTTCTGAAAATGTTTAAATAATTTGTCGCAGTTAGTCAGGTGTTAAGGTAACTCATCTTACATTCAGACCAAGCAGAGTGCCTGTGACACTACAAGTAGTCAGTTACAACTGAGGTTTCATCCTTCAGCAAGCTGTATCAAATTATTTTTTATTAAGATTTACCACCCTGAACATTGAGTGCATGTATGCCTAGGCCCATTTTTCTGGTAAGAGGACTAATATCTTTTTTTTTTTTTTAAGATTTATTTATTTGACAGAGACACAGCGAGAGAGGGAACACAAGCAGGGGGAGCGGGAGAGGGAGAAGCAGGCTTCCCGCCAGAGCAGGGACCCTGATGCGGGGCTCGATCCTAGGACCCTGAGATCATGACCTGAGCCGAAGGCAGACGCTTAACGACTGAGCCACCCAGGTGCCCCGAGGACTAATATCTTTAATCACAGACTCAAGTGACTATATGGCACCAAAAAAAGTTAAAAGCTACAGATTGAAACAAAATAGGGAATTGTTAAATGTAAGCTGTGTCTCTCAAACACACAGTAGAGAGCTGAGGTACCTCTAAGAACAGTTCAGAAGAAAGAGGTCAACTCTGGAAGAAAAGGGGGGTTTTTTGGTTGCATTTTATTTGTCTTGTTTACTGCTTTTGTTGTTTTGCCTGTTAACCAAAAGTAGATTACTACAATTCTTCATCTAATTCAACTGCCACAAATGCAGCTACTGGTAGGTATACTACAGCACACCTTAGAAAGGAACACTATGGTTATCATTAAGTTAAATGTACCTACCATAAGTGAACAAATATGGGGGTACATACTAGATAATTCTCTTTGGAATCCAGACATTAGCTTATTAAATACTCTGTTTTATTAATTCCTGTAATCCTTGCTTACTCTCTAACTCAGTAAAATAGTGGCTAAATCTTATGTGATAAAGTAAGCTAGATTTCACATTAATTTTCCTTTATACACCACTTAAAATCTTCTTTTGGGGAGCCTAGGTGGCTCAGTCGGTTAATCAACTCTTGGTTTCAGCTCAAGTCATAATCTCATGGGTTGTGAGATCAAGCCCTGTGTTGGGCTCTGCACTCAACAAGGAGTCTGCTTGAAGTCTCTCCCTCTGCCCCTCCCCCACTCTCTCTCTCTCTCTCTCTCTCTCTCTCTCTCAAATAAATAAATCTTGGGGCACTTGGGTGGCTCAGTTGTTAAGCATCTGCCTTCGGCTCATGTCATGATCCCAGGGTCCTGGAATCGAGCCCCACATCGGGCTCCCTGCTCAGCGGGAAGTCTGCTTCTCCCTCTCCCACTCCCCCTGCTTGTGTTCCCTCTCTGACTGTGTCTCTCTCTGTTAAATAAATAAATAAAATCTTTAAAAAATAAAAAAATAATAAAATAAATAAATCTTTTTTAAAAAATCTTCTAATATTGAGTATACCTATTTTATAGGTAAACACCACACAGCCCTGCCCCACCAAGCTCACTGTACATGCTCATCCTCATGTGAAATGTAACTTAGACGCTCCAATTCCATAATGTTACATTAAGAAAAAGCCAAGTTTCAGATTTTACACTGCCTGATTACTAAGACCACATTAGCTCACTACTAGTGGATTACTCACCGTATCAACTATTCATATTAAATCTTTGGATGCAATGAAATTTAACAATGCTATTTTTATGTTGTGCAAAAAAAAAAATCATTCAGTCTGTTTTCCCTTTTTGATTACAGTTCATTTAAGGAAAAAATGTTGCTGTATGGCTTGACAATGTTTTATGTGTCTTCGGCTGATAGAACACACAAAACGTTTGAATAGGCCCATTTATTTGAGCAGACGTATTAAATAATACTTTAAATGTGAACATGCATGTCATAAATTTTGTAGTCTCTTTAAAGTAGGATAAATCTGGTATTTAAAATAGTCTTTGTTCAAAGCCATTTTTTTTCTAACAGTCATAAAGGGACTCTGATTTGTGCTGCATGAACAATGCCAGCATCATCATTTTAATGTTATCCATATGGGCTTCTAATAATAGATAAGAGTCTACATTTGTATTATATGTCTTAGAGACATTTAAAATCTAGATAAGGAAAGGCTGATTTCATTGGCCCCATAGTTAAAGGAAAGCAGACCCTAATTAAAAGAATTCTGTTCTGAATTAACTAGTTTGACATGTGCTAATTGACAGTTCCTGTGAAATGGTTCTAATTAAAGTCAATATGTCTTTTTCAATTAAAAGGAAATTAAGAATATACTAATATACATTAACAACTTAATCTGCCTTCAATATCCCATACATCAGCTGCTTTTTCCCCCCTAACGTTATTGAAGAACCATCTGACATGAATCATCTACTGTTTGCTTATGGTATCTCATTATTACTTCACACGAGCACAGCAGTAGTATATGTCCCCTTGAGGAAGAGAGTAACCTGCACATGCTTTAATTTTCAGAGCTCCCAACTTTTAATTCATTAAAAATAAACCCAACTTTTTAGAATTTAGAAAATGGACATTCTTATTAAGAATTTTTGCTAACTAAAAACAAAGACAAGTGTTCTCAATTAGTTGGTCTTTTTACTATAGGCCTTAAAGGTAATTGCATTCTGCTGGAAAGAAGGCTGGACTATGTTTTCATCATTTGGCTTGATTCAAAGCAAAGCTTGATTTGAGCAACATATAGAAAACATCCTTCAAATTTGTTCTGTTTCCCAAGTGAAATTTTGGGGAAATCTCAGGTGGGAATAGTTTTCATTGTATATACAAAAAGAAAATAGAAAGCAAGATTGTTTAAATGCCAGCACTAACAGAAGGCCCATCATAGTCACTGAAAATATAACATTAGCAAAGCTGTTTATAGCAACATAATTAAATATTCAAATATGCATTACAAAGTTATGGTGTTAACAATTTTAATGCTAGCAAAAGTAATATTAAACTCAAGCACCAATACTAATGTACACAGCATTAAAATCACATGGAAAACTATGCAAAAGATTAAAACTATTTTCTTTTGTAGATGATTATAATTTATACATTTTAATTATAATTAAAAATATTCTAAAGTTTTAATACTATCAAGATACTATATGCAGTCCTTTCATATGATACAGCTGATGTTCTGATGGGAGTTCCATCACAACCCCCTTTTAAACCCCCAGTTTAAAACTGAACCATAAAATGTGGCTACTTAGAGAAATAGGAAATTATTTTACTTAATTTCACTAACACTAATTTATGTATTTTTAATACAAAACAAAAAAAGGTAAACAAGTCATTTTCACTTTTCCACTTTTATTCACTTATATTTTAAAAACATTAAATTTGCTATCACTTGTAGCATTCTGAGTATGTGTGGGAGTGATGGAGACACAGTCAGCCCGCCAGTCAATGCAAGATCTCTCATTGAAAGCATTTTTCCCAAATGTACTCTATTATTCTTTTCCAAGTAGTACCAAAAACTTTAATGGGGACTCTAAAATCAGGTGAAGTCTCATAAATTTCCAGAATGAGTAAATGCATATTAACCCATGTTCAAAAAAGCACCTCTATGTGATTATAAATATATTCAGACTCAATAGTCAAAACACAGTGGTCTTTATCACCATTTGGAGCCCCTAGTTTGATTTTCAATCCCAGGATCTTGCTCCTCGAGCTGGCATTGACAAAATGCTGCAGTAACAGCATGTACTCAGCTTTCTGAAATGGGAGGGAAGCCAATGCAGCAAGTTTTCTGCCCAACTAAAGAGCATTGTCTATAGCAGGCCTACACAACATAAGGCCTACAGGCTACACACAGCCATGAAGCAATTGTTCATGACCCACCTACAGATTTGAGAAGGGGATCAAGTAGAAAGACAGAAAATATGGCAGCCATGTCCGGAACAAGACATACAGCTGTTCCACAGATCCCACCTCTTAGTTTACATGTTATAATACCCTGTATATAAACCCATGATAAAAATCAATGTGACTGGTCAACGCTAACAACAAAGGCATTCACCGTACCCATGCTAGACTAATATAAAAACTTCCTAACAGGCAGAAACTATATAGAACTAAAACTAGGAAAAACCTGTAGCATTCATCTGACAGCTTATTTTCTTTTAGTCAATAAATATTTATTGATGATCCTCATAGTTCATACTTTCTATAAGAACTTCTTTTCATCTCTTTCTCTTGTTCTTGTCATTTACTTACCCATGGGTGACCATAAAACTTAATGTGTGAACTGGAACACTTTTAAAAATGAACACAGCGGGGAGTAGTATCATGGATGATGACAGAGTAGGAAGCTCTAGAATCAGTCCCTCCACCAAAACAACTATCGAGCTGGTAAAAACAAAAACAAAAACAAAAAACAAAAACCTGTTAGAAACAACTATTTCAGAACTCTGGAGTCTAGTTGAACATTGTAGCATCCAGGGGAGTACTTGATGAAGAAAGAGACTAAGTTCTAGTGAATTTCAGCATTACACATAGCGGCTACAATCCACAAGCCCTGCCAAAAGTAACCATGGGGACAACAACCTAAATTCCTGATGCAGCTTTCCAACATTAGGGCAGACACTAGAGACCTTCTCCTCTAAAAACTAAAGTTCTGTGTTTTGATCTACATGGCAGTTCACTGTGGGGCCAAGACAGAGGCCTGGCCACTGGTTCAACCCAGCAGGTTGCTTTGCTTGCACCACTGAAGGAAGTCACAGAGACATAATACCCTTTTAAATTTTTTTACCCTCACTGGATCCAGGTATATAAGGAAATCTCTGTCAGGTCACTGGCTGACCACAGAGGTAACAGAATATAGACTTCAGTGACCACACATGACAAGAAATACAGTCTGCAAACACAACACAAACAATAAACAAATGAATGACTGCAGCCTTCATCAAGTAACAATAGCAAACCTTGGTGTAGAGGGAAGAATTTGATTTCGAGAATTACATTACAATATTCAAAATGTCCAGATATCAAGAAAATTATAAAGCACATAAGTGGAAAAATATTACTCATTCATAGGGAAAAAAAACTGACAGAAACCATCCTAAAAAAGCCCAGACACTGAACTTAGTAGGCAAATACTTTAATTTACTACCTTAAATATGCTCAATGAGCTGAAGAAAGCCATGGACAAAGAACCAAAGTAAATTAGGAAAAGTATGCACAAACAAATAAGGAATATCAACAAAGAGAAATCATTAAAAAATCAAAGTAGAAATTATGGGGCTAAAAAGTACAAAAGATAAAACAAAAATTTCAATGAGAGGCATTCAACAGCAAATATAAACAAGCAAAAGAGAGAATCTTCACATCTGAAAACAGAGCAATTATAATTGCCCAGTCTGGGGAGAAAAATAAAAACAAAGCAAAATGAACAGGGCCTAAGATGGGACACCATCAACATACCAATATATGCATTATGGGAGTCCCAGGAGAAGAGAAAGAAAAAGAAGCAGAAAAAAATTTTTTGAAGAAATATTATCCAAAAGCATCCCAAATTTGATGAAAGATATGAATATACACATCCAAGAAGGTCAACAAACTCTAAGGAGGACAAAGAAATCTACACCACATTATTATCAAATTGTGGAAGGACAAAGAATCGTGAAAGCAACAAGAGAAAAGCAATTCATCATATACAAGGCATCCTCAAGAAAGATTAATGCCCTATTTCTTATCAGAAACAATGAAGGCCAAATGATAGGAGGACAATATATTTAAAGAACTGAAAGGAAAAAAATGCAACCAAGAATTCTGTATTCAGCAAAACAATGCTTCAAAAATGAAAAAAAATTACATTCCCAGATAAACAAAAGCTAAAGGAATTCAATACTAGTAGATGTTCTCTATAAGTAATGCTAATGGAAGTACTTCAAGCTGAAATGAAAGGATATTAGACAGTAACTCAAAGCCATACAAAGAAATAAAGATCACTGATAAAGTTAACCACATAGGTAAATATAAAACCTAGTATTATTGCATTTTTGGTAAATAACTCTTTTTATTTCCTTATCATTTAAAAGACATGCACAAAATAATAATTATAAATCTATGTTAATGGGCACACAATGCATAAAGATGCAACTGTGACAATAACAACATAAAGGAGAGGATAAAGCTAGAAATACATGCAACTGAAGTTAAGCTGGTATCAATTCAAACGAAATTTTTATAAATTTAGGATGCTAATTATAATCCCCATGGTAGCCACTAAGAAAATAACTAAAAATATACATAAAAAGAAATGAATACACCTGAAGCCAATGTAACACTGTGTGTCAACTATACTCAAATAAAAAAAAAGTTAATGAAGAGGGAATCAAAATGGTATACTAGAAAAAAAAAATAAAACACAAAAGGCAGCAGTGAGGAATTGAGGAACAAAAAAAAGGACATGACACATAGAAAACAAACAGCACAATGGCAGAAATGTCTTTTATATCGAATAATCACTATAAAAGTAAATGGGCTAAACTCATCAATTAAAAGACAGCTATTCAGCATTATCAACAATAGCCAAACTATGTAAAGAGCCCAAATGTCCATCAATTGATGAATGGATAAAGAAGATGTGGTATATATACACAATGGAATATTACTCAGCCATCAAAGAGAGTGAGATCTTGCCATTCACAACAACATGTATAGAACTAGAGTGTATTATGCTAAGCGAAATAAGTCAGAGAAAAAGAAATACCATATGATTTCACTCATATGTGGAATTTAAGAAACAAAATAGATGAACATATGGGAGGGGGGATAAAGAAAAAAGAGAGGAGACAAACCATAAGAGACCCTTAAAGATAGAAAACAAACAGGGGTGATGGAGGGAGGTGGGGGGATGGGCTAGATGGGCACTTGATATGATGAGCACTGGGTGTTTCATATAAGTGATGAATAACTGAATTCTACTCCTGAAACCAACACTGCACTATATGTTAACTAGAATTTAAATGAAAATTTGAAAAAATAAAATAAAAGACAACTATTGGTAGAATGAATTAAAAAAAAATGATACAACTATAAACTGCGTATAAGAGACTCATTTTACACCCAAAAACACAAGTTGAAACTGAAAGGAAGGAAAAAGGTATTACATGCAAATAGTAACAAAAAGGGAGCCCAGTTCACAATATTAATATGAGCAAATGGATTTTACATCAAAAACTGTTACAAGAGACAAAGATATTTTAGAGTGATAAAGAATAACTCATCACAAAGATATAACAATTATAAACATCTATGGTGAAGATGTGGAGGAAAAAAAACCCTCGTGCACTGTTCATGGAAATGCAAACTGGTGCAGCGACTATGGAAAACAGTTTGGAGATTCCTCAATAAATTAAAATTAAAGAATTGAAGGGAGAAAGACAGTATATAATAATAGTTGGAAACTTCAACAGCCTACTTCAATAATGGATAGAACACATAGACAGAAAATTAATAAGGAAAGAGAGGACCTGAATAATACTATAAACCCAACTAGACTTTACAGACATGTGCAAAACACTCTATCCAACAATGGCAGAATATCTATTCTTCTCAACTGCACTGGAACATTCTCTAGAATAAACCATATGTTATGCCATAAGACAATTCAAATTTAAAAAAATATTAAAATCATTCAAAGTATCTTCTCTGACCACAATGGAATGAAGCTAGAAATCAATACCAGAAGGAAAACTGGAAAACTCAAACACCTGGAAACTAAGCAACATACTCTTAAGCAACCAGTAGATCAAGTAAGGAATCACTAGGAGACACAAAAAATACTTTGAGATAAATGAAAATAAAAATACAACATACCAAAACATATAGGGAGCAGCAAAAGAAGTGTTCTGTGGGAAATTTATGGCTGTAAACACCTCCATTTAAAAAAGATCTCATGTCCACAACCCAACTTCACACCTTAAGGAACTAGAAAAAGAACAACAAATGAAACCCTAACTGAGAGGAGGAAAGAAATAATAAAACTCATAGCCAAGAGAAACAAAATAGAGAAGAGAAAAGCAACAGAGAGAATCATTAAACCAAAGGTCAGCTTTTTGGGAAAAAAAAAAAAAAAATCAACAAAAATGAGAAACCTTTAGCTATACTAAGAAAAAAAATGCAAATAACTGAAATAAGAGATGAAAGCAGGGACATACATTTACTTTTTCAATATTGTTTTGGCTACTGGAAGTCTCTTGCAGTTTCATACATATTTGAGGAACTGTAGATCAATTTTGTAGAAATTTAAAGGACTATAAGAAAATACTATGAACAATTTTACACCAACAAATTAGACAATCTAGATGAAATGGATGAATTCCTAGGAAAACACAAATTACCAAGACTAACTCAAGAAGTAAAAAATCTTAACAGACCAATAACAAGAGATTAAATCAGTTAATAAAAATAGCCTACCAAAAGAGAAGTCAGAACCATCTGGTTCAGTAGAATTCAACTGAATTCTATCAATCCCTAAAAGAAGAATTAACAACATTCCTTCTTAGACTCTTCCAAAAAAACAAAGAAACTCTAATACTTTTCATAAGGTCTGCATTAACCTGACACCAAAGCCAGACAAAGATACCATAAGAAAACTATAGACCAATATCTCTTATGAATATTTACAAAATTCCTCAACAAAATACTAGCAAACAAGCTCTGAGAGTACATTTTAAAAATTATACACCATCGGAGTACCTGGTTGGCTCAGTCAGTTAAGCGTCCAACTCTTGATCTCAGTACAGGTCTTGATATTGGGGTCATGAGTTCAAGCCCCATGTTGGGCTCCATGCTGCGCATGAAGCCTACTTAAAAAAAAAAAAACAAAAAACAAACCTTACCATCACCAAGCAGGATATAAATCAGGAATGCAATGGCAGTTCAACATATGAAAATCAATGTAATGCATACCACACTAACAGAATTTAAAAAAACAAACTACATAATCATTCAATACATGCCCAAAAAAGCATCTGAGAAAATTCTAAATGCTCTCATGATAAAAATGCCCAAAAACTAGGATAAAAGGGAATTTCTTCAACACAGTAAGGGGAATTTATGAAAAACCCATAGTTAATATCATACTTTCTAATGAAAGAATGAAAGCTTTCCCCCTAAGATCAAGATACAGGACAAAAATGCATGCTTTGACCTATTCAACATTGTATTGGACATTCTAGCCACAGCAATTAGTCAAGAAAAAGAAATAAGATGCATCCAAATTGATAAAGCCTTTTAGAGGTAGAACGAAGTAAAACTATTTCTACTTGCAAATGGCATGATTCTATATATACAAAATCCCACAGAATCTACACACACACACACACACACACATACACAAACCTACTAGAGCTAATAAATGAATTCAGTAAAGTTGCAGGGTACAAGACCAACACAATTAGTTGTGTTTCTACATGGCAGCAATGAACAATCTGGAAATTAAGAAAACAATTTCATTTACAATAGCATTCAAAAGAATAAAATACTGGGGAATAAAGCATTGCTGAAAGAAATTAAAGAAGCCCTAAATAAATGGAAATACATCCCATGTTCATGAACTGGAAGACTCAATATGGTTAAGATAACAATACTCCACAAAGAGAACTAAATTCCTCAAATTTATATGGAACTACAAGGGATTCTGAGTAGCCAAAACAATATTCAAAAAGTAAAATGCAGCTGAAAAACTCACATTTCCCAATTTCAAAATGTACCACAAAGCTACCCTAACCAAAAGAGTGTGGTATTGACCTAAGGATAGAAATAGAGACCAACAGAATAGAACTGAGAATCTAGAAATAAACTCAATCATCCATAACCAATTGATTTTTGACAAGACCATTCAACAGGGAAATAACAGTTTTCAACAAATGATGCAGGGATAAATGGATAACCACAAACAAATAATGAAGTTGGACCCATACCTCACTTCTTATACAAAAATTAACTCAAATAAATGGCCTAAATATAAGAGCTAAAACTATAAAATTACCAGAAGAAAAAAACAGAGGTAATATTCATAACCTGAGATTTGGCAATAGATTCATAGATTTGACACCAAAAGCATGAGCAGTAAAAGTGAAAGACAAGTTGGCTTTCATAAAAATTATAATCTTCTTTTGTTCATTAAAGAAAATTATCAAGAATGCCAAGGAACAATCTAAAGAATGGAAAAAAATTCTGCAAATCATTTATCTCATAAAGGATTAATAATGAGAATATATAAAGAACCCTTATAATTCAACACATAAACAAACCCAAATAAAAAATGGGCAAGAGACCTGCATAGTTTCTCCAAAGAAGATATAAAAACAGCCAATAAGCACATGAAAAGATTTTCAGTATCTCTAGTCATTGAATACATGATGAAAAAACACTTCATATCCACTTAAGATAGCTTCAAAGACTAAATTAATAAAAATAACAACTGTTGGCAAGGATGTAGAGAAATAGGACTCCTTGTACATTATTGGTAGGAATGCAAAATGGTTCAGCTGCTATGGAAAACAAGTTGGCTATTCCTCAAAAAATTAAACACAGAATAATCATATGATTTAGAAATTCTGCTCCTAAGTATATACCTAAAAAAAATGAAAACATATGTCCACACAGAAACTTGTACACGAAGGTTTATAGTAGCATTATTCACTATAGCCAAAGGATTAAAATAGCCCACATGCCAATCAGTGGATAAATGGATAAACAAATTGGGGTATGTATGCATTGTGTGTATATATACTCAGCCATTATAAGGAACAAAGAACTGACACATTCTACAACTTGGATGAACCTCAAAAACATTACACTAAGTGAAAGAAAGCAGACACAAAAGGTCATATATTGTATGGTCTACTTAAATAACTTCTTATAAGTTTTGGTGTAGTTTTCTTTGATCCTTTCAAACACCATGCATTTTTCAAGTAGTGATACTGTAATCTACAGTCTCCACAGGGTTTCATATAGGAGGCTTTTCTCAGTACTTTAGTCTCTTCTATTTCAATCTCTTTTCTAATGCTTCATTTTTGTCTTATTAAGAAAAAGAAAAGTACAATTATACATCCAAACCTAGCATTAAACTACAATTATTTTAAAGTGAGAAAATAAAGCCAAGTGCATAAGGAAAATGCAAACAGGGTGAGAACCTCTCCAAAATTCTAAGATGGGATCCTTAAAAGTACACAGTTTCTGTAATGAAATGTAAATGTTTATAGACTTTTCATCAAGAGACAGGAGAACTTAGGCTTGGTCAAGACCATTTAAGATAAGAGACGTTAAGAATCCTAATACTTACTTTTCATTCTATTTGGGAGAAAAAAATGTATTCCCAAAGTTTTTAATCTTTAATATATAAATATTTGTACCATATAAAATTTTGTAATAAGGTATAATTGCATGTATAAATATGGCTATTGCTGGACATCTAATTTTTAAGAGAACATAAATTTATTTCAAAATGGGCGCCTGGGTGGCTCAGTCGTTAAGCGTCTGCCTTCGGCTCAGGTCATGATCCCAGGGTCCTGGGATCGAGTCCCACATCGGGCTCCCTGCTCTGCGGGAAGCCTGCTCCTCCCTCTCCCACTCCCCCTGCTTGTGTTCCTGCTCTCGCTGTGTCTCTCTCTGTCAAAAAAATAAATAAAATCTTTAAAAAAAAAAAAAAAAAAAAAAATTTATTTCAAAATGTTATTTACTCAACTAGTTATGAATTACTTTGGAAATGCTCTCCTCAAACAAATTTTCTGAATTTATTTTACAACTTTAAAACCAAGTAAATAATTACAATAAGATATCACCTCACACCTGTCAGAATGGCTAAAAAAAAAAAAAAAAACACAAATAACAACAGTTATTGGCGAGGATGTGGAGAAAAAGGAACCCTCTTGCACTGTTGGTGGGAATGCAAACTAGTGCAGCCACTCTGGAAAACAATATGGAGGTTCCTCAAAAAATTAAAAACAGAACTACCCTATGATCCAGCAATACTACTAGGTATTTACCCAAAGGATACAAACATACTAATTCAAAGGGATACATGCACCCTGATGTTTAGAGCAGCATTATCTACAATAGCCAAATTATCAAAACAGCCCAATCAATGAATGGATAAAGAAGATACGGTGTATACACACACACACACACACACACACACACTAGAATATTACTCAGCCACAATAAAGAATGAAATCTTGCCATTTGCAACATGGATGGAGCCAGAGAGTATTATGGTAAGTGAAATAAGTCAGTTACAGAAAGACAAATACCGTATGATTTCACAATGATTTCACGGAATTTAAGAAACAAAACAAACAAGCAAAAGAGGGAAAAAAAGAGTGAGAAAAAGGCAAACCAAGAAACAAACTCAACTGTAGAGCATTGATGGTTACCAAAAGGGAGGTGGGTGAGGGAATGGGTTAAATTGGTGATGGGGATTAAGGAGTGCACTTGTTGTGATGAGCACCAGGTGATATATAGAAGTATTGAATCACTATATTGTACACCTGAAACTACGATACACTGTATGCTAACTAACTGAAATTTAAATAAAAACGTTAAAAAAAAAGTAAAGAATGTTTTGGGATACTATAAACCAAATACAGCATACATTTCTCAAAATTGTTACAGAAGATTAATAATATTATTGCTAACAACATGACTATGATCTGAACATAAAGAAATTCAGTATCCTCATGCTGGAAAAAATTATTTCTCCTAGACTAAATATCTCTTTTCTAAATATCATTATTAGGTATCTTGAAAGTTAATAAAATCAAAGTGAAACACACAAAAAGAAACTCTGAATTCCTTTATTCATTTATAGACAGTAATATGAAATAAACACAAAACCCACATTTCATTTTGTGTTTATGTAAATAATTAGCAAAGCATTCTGTTTATGTCTTACTGTGATCAAGCAGGCTTGTCTGTGAAAAAAAAGAAACTGCTGTGTTGTCAATGCTAGCTAAACCCACCCTATAAATTCTAGAGTCCAGGAAAATATACTTTTGCAAGAAGTCTATTCAATCAGAAATCAGAACTGGGAATATGGAATGTCTTGGCCCTTATAGGAAAAAGTCCCATTTTTGTAAAAATTGTTGTTATTCAAGCACTTCTGCTACTATTCCCTTCTTTCTCTGCTATGTCTCCCTACCTTGACTATATAGAAGTAGTAAGGCATCCTCTTAATATATGCATTATGTTTAAAAGATAAACATGTTGGGGCACCTGGGTGGCTCACTGGGTTAAACGTGTGCCTTCAGCTCAGGTCATGATCCCAGAATCCTGGGACAGAGCCCTGCGTCAGGGTCTCTGCTCAGTGGGGAGTCTGCTTCTCCCTCTGCCTCTGACCCTTCCCCTCCCCCTAAATAAAATCTTTAAAAAATAATAAAATAAAACAAAAGATAAACATGTTTGCTACATTCATTTGTTCATGAATTGAAAACAGAAATATAAGGTTTTTATTTTTTATTTTTTTAAAGATTTTTATTTATTTAAGAGAGAGAGAGAGAGCAGACATAAGCAGGGGGAGTGGCAGAGGGAGAGGGAGAAGCAGGCTCCGCACTGAGCAGGGAGCCTGATGTGGGGCTCGATCCTAGGACCCTGGGAACATGACCTGAGCTGAAGGCAGATGCTTAACCCACTGAGCCACCTAGGCACCCTTATAAGGTTTTTTTAATGTCCTTCTGGTTTTGCCATATAAAATAATTGCTCCCACGCACTCTTAATTTACATACCATGACTTTTGTGATACTTTTCTTTTTGTATTGAGTATTCATCTTAGGCATCTCAAAGCACAGCAACTTTTCTCCTGATTCTGATCCCTTTATAAGGATTCAAGATCCCTAGATGCATGATAAAGAGACAGTCAATTCCCTGCCAGAAAAAGGATATGCAATATGCATGTACATAGGTCACTTTCTAAGTGTTTGCTTTAGTTAGCTTCCTCTTTACTGTAAATACACATAGCTTCATTAAATGGTGCCAATTTTCAGTAAGGCAGCTTACATACAGAAAAAATTACGAGAAGAAACCCAATGACTGAAATATTCTGTCCAAATTAGTGTACTTCTAAAATGTAGCCCTTTCCTAAATTTTTGTAATACATTCAGTACTTTTTTTAAAGATAAAATCCTTCCACATGCCTCAGTGATTCATAGTAGTCATTACCACAGACTGTGATAGATACCAAGTAACTCAAAACCCAGTTTTCTGGTTGAGTTTCTATTAATGCGATGTGTAGGACATATATGAAAAATGCTGAAGCAGGAAACAACATGGATAGCAATGGAGATATTATGCTATCTGTTTAGGTTGCTGTGTGAAACCTTCCCATTCTCATCACCAGAGCTGTAGTTAAAACTCTGGCTGCCTGAAACGAAATATAAGGTTGTGTCCTCTTCACAGAGCTGTCAGTTTTTCAACTAGCCAGTTTATAGGTTCTGAGAAAAGACATGCTCCTGTTTTAAACATGTGAATGAAAGAAACTGCTTTGGCAAATTTAATTAGATGGAAAATGGAGCTTTTTTTTTTCTTAATTCCACACCACTGTGGGAGAGTGACAACTACAGGACCTTGGATAAAAACTTGTTTCGTATTTGTGAATTGATGTGTGTTTTATTGTCACCACATACAAATTCATATACAAATGTATATACTATACTCAAGTACATTTAATATAATACATATTTATAAATCTAAGTTGATAAAACTTTGACACAGATGATATCATAAATGTGTGAAGAAAATGAAAGCAAATGCCATAGACTGAGATTTAAAAAAAAGTTAAAATTCTTATTAGCTCTCTCACATTCCTCATGTTTTCACTAAACATGTTAGTAAATGTATACACTGTATGATTTCATATAATTTGAATCAAGGGTCAGTTAGAAAACATTGCACTTTTAAATTTGCTGATCAATGCACAGGTTTATATACTGTGTGCCATTTTTCCACTGGATTTTCTAAGTGTTCTCTTAAAAAAGAACTGAAAAAGTATTATGATTCAAAGTTTCTTTACAAGTAAGTCTTATAACAAAAAAGAAAACCGTAATGATAATATCCTTTAGGATACCCTGAAAGTTAACTTTCCTTGGAACCACTTAAAGTAGTCTAAAGAAAGATTTAATAGTCTTTCTTGCATTATTTTTCACTCTGGTTAAAACATTATAAATAATATGAGTTAAAAGCTAACAAAAACAAGTAGGAATGAAATTACTATTATTTTTATCACTTAAGGAACTCAAAAATAGTTGAAACAATTTTTCCAATACTTTTGCAAAATTCTTACCTCTAGTCAAAGTTCTAAGTAAATATGTCATCCCCAAAGGAGAATTTGAAAGCTACAAACCTCTTTAAGCGATCTGAAGATTTAACTATGACTTGTACATTTCTAAGCTGTTTACTGGTATTAATATTGCTTCTATATTTTAATTTGCAAAAATGAACAGCAAAAGACCTAGGTGAAATGTATGAACTAGAAAAGTTCCTCTTTGGCATGCCAATATCTGATACAGTTTTAATGAAACACCTGCACCGCAAATAAAGGAATATAAAAGAAAGCAACAGGGAGGACACAAGTTAGAGGGCAGCACAAGTGAAACAAAGACATAAAATCAAACAGGAATGAATGTCATTGGATAAAGGCTCTTCAACAACTTAAAAAATACCCTGAACCAAGAATCTGCACTTGAGTACAAATTATACTTAGGTATTTTTTTCTATTTTATTAGAAAGAATTTATATTCACCATAATGTTGTGTAAAAAGCCTCATGACTGTATTTATTGCCCTTTTGAAAAAAGCACTAAGATTAGTTGACCTGGATTCTCAACACAGATTTTTCTTTGATTTAGAGGAAGATGAAAAAAGAGGAAAACAGTAAGAGAGAGAAGAGAAAAAGAGAATGTACTAAAAAACACCTATAATAACTATTACAGAAGATTAATAATCTTTTCAAGCGAGAGAAAGGGGGGGGAACAGTTTGGTAGGAAATGCCATAATTTCAGTCACAAAGTATGTCTTAAAAACTTGTTTCTTATTTGTGAATGTGTGCGTATATTCCTTCAGCCAGTTAGTTACAAAAAAGGGATGACAGACAGGAGTGATAGGAAATAAATGCTGTCAATCTACTTCTGGGAACATGACAAAGTGAATTTCTCCTGCTCCAAACACAAAGACATGGTGGAAAAAATACAACCAAAAAAATGAATACATAGCTTAGAAATATCCAGGCTCCCAAAACAGAGAGAACTCAAAGCCAGAGTTACAAGAGTCAAAGCTGAGAGCATGACAACTTAGAGAAGTACAGAGTTGAAATGGTGTAAGAGCCAGTAGCTGAGGTGTTAAGGTCCATATGTAGGGACAGAATACATAGTTTGGGGCCCACATAAGTAAGGGAGAATGAAATAACTGGGATACCCGAGTAAAAAGTTTAGATAATCAAAAGACTGCTTACGCTATAAAAAAAGAGTGTTAAAAACAAAAACAAAATCTCTGCTCACAAGCCCAGAAGAGAAGCAAGGAAGCTGTCTCTCTGCCAAAAGCTCTATGTAGGAAAAAAGTTTCCCATGAAAGAGCAAAACCTGAAGAGAGGTTTAAGGTCTGAATTTACATTACATGCATGGTATGGTAATCCCATGCCAGATAAAAAAAAACAGATCCTAATAAAGATTTTTTACATACTATTATGGTATGATCTCCAGGAAATATTAAATGAAAAAAGCTGGGTGCTGAATAGTGTGAATAGTATGCATGTATTTATCTAAGAGGGGAAATAGAAATACCTAGACACACACATTTGGTTCCATTTTTTTTAAAAAGATAGATATCAATCAAAAGATCCCTAAATTATTCGTCTGTGGAAAAGAAAAAAAGAAGGTGAAGGAAGGATAGAAGCCAGACTTATCCAAATTTATCTTATTTTCTAGATTTTTAATATGAAATTGTAAATATCTGACATAATTATAAAACAAAATTGAATCAAGAATTTTAAAAGTGCAACTATAGACCTGAGAAACAAACAGGGTTTTAGAGGGGAGGGGGGAGGGGGGATTGGTTAGCCCGGTGATGGGTATTAAAGAGGGCACATACTGCATGGAGCACTGGGTGTTATACGAAGACAATGGATCGTGGATCACTACATCAAAAACTAATGATGTATTGTATGGTGACTTACATAACATAATAAAATTTAAAAAAAAAAAAGAATTTTAAAAGTGCTCCCAAAAGTTTGAAAATAAAATCAAACTAATCCATGTATCAAGTCGATGGGTTTAACAAACACACAGAAAACAATTATTTCAAGTGACTTAAAAACAGAGTAATTTGATTACAAATCATCAGTGAGATATACAACAAGGACCAAAAGAACTGCAAAGAAGTTGTAAACTATTTCAGTAACCATATTATTAGTAATGGCATTGGTGTTGGTATACTGATATTAATATACAAAGAGCAATTAATTATATTAAGGTCATGAGGAACCAACATTTTCAGCATAAAAGAAAAAAACCACAAATACAAAACCAAGAAAAGTTAAAAACCCTTGTAATCCCAAATTTGAAATGGAAATATCAGGATATACTCATGAAGTATTTTCCTTTAAAAAAGTTTGTATTTCCTACCTGTTCATATTTCCACTAAAAAGGCCTAGAAACATGACAAGTCCAGGCCACTGAGCACCCACCCCATCATCTAAACTGTGGTCTCTAAATATAATTTTTGCACTAAAAGAAAATAGGGTAGAAACTGATCCCAGTTCTAGGGTACAAAACAGACAATATGAACCAAAAATACTTTACTGTACCAGAAAACAAGAAAGTTATCAAAAGCTGATGGTGGTGTGTCAAAAGGGCTCAGAAGCTAACTTAGAGATGGCAAAAGATGGGACAATTTTAGGAAAAAGATAGTATCAGCGGGTTAAAATATTAAATGTGTTAAAAATCCGTACGTTCATAGCAATAAATAAAAATGAATGTTCATAATTGCCTTTGCAGGATGCCAGAGAACCAACTTAGTATTCTGAAAACTACTAAATAAAAGGAAAAAAACGATGCATTTTTCCTGTCTTTTCTTTATTAATTGTACCTCAGAAAAACTAAATAGTTGATGAGGGCAATTATATATGAAAAAGAAAGTTAGGTTTTACAACTCTGAATGGCACGATGAATCTGGGCAATGATCATCAACAGGTGCTAAAATCATTAGACAGGGGGTAATTTAACAATGTACAGACCAGGCTGACAATACCTGAAACTACTGATCAATCTTAACATTCACACACAAAAAGAGCAACCACATGTTATATGCCTCCTGGTGTGATACAAAAGAAAGTATACAATACCACCTATGAAATATTCTTGCCAAAAAAAAAAAAAAAAAATCAAGCCTGTGTAAGCCTCTAGATCTAAGTACTGGTTTATAGGGAATTGACACAGAGTAACACATTTAATAACACGTCAGATGCAATTAGCAAAATCCTGAAGGTAGGTGTACAAAAAGGAGTTAATAGAGCAAGATTCAAACTGCTATCCTTTGAAAAGTCTGTTTGCAAGACTGGCCTTTGGCTGGTGTCTGGAATTTTTATTTCAGCAGGGTTCCCACCAATCCCAGAACAGATAAGACTGCTCAATGTGCCTAACCTGTTTGTACAGTGGACAATGTGGTTTATACTTGACATCTGCTCTCCTTCTACAAGTCTAGAATTTTGGTACATGCCAGGCAGAAGATGCCTACATAACCAGCCTCCAGTAAAAAGCCCGGGCACTGAGTGTCTAATGAGCTTTCCTTTTAAATATTTCACATAGTTGTCACAACTCATTCCTGAGGGAATTAAGTACAACCTGTGTAACTGAACTAGGAAAAGACTCATGCCTGGTTTCCTTCCTCCAGACTTTGCCCCATTTGCCTTTCCCCTTTACTGATACTGCTCTGTATCCTTTTGCTATAATAAATCACAGCATAGAGTACAACTACATGCTGAATCCTATGAGCCTAGTAGTGAATCAATGAGCCTGGGGGTGGTCTTCAAAATCCCCAACACAAGGGGAAAATTTACAGATTAATAACCTGATTTGTTCAATAAAGTGCACAAGAAAAAAAAAGTGTAAAAATCTATTAAGAAATTTAATAATAAATGTTTAATTACAGTATTTTGTTTCAGTTCTTGTGACTAAAGATGGAAAACACTAACTGAAAATTTTAATTTATGATTCAAAAAACATAAAACTTAAAAAGAAATTTAAATTAACTTCCAAATAATTATACAAGTCTATGGTATTTATACCCTTTAAGTCATTCAAATTTAAAACTGCACTAAGACTTTTGGGACACTCTGTATAAATAACCAAAATCTGACTCAAGAAGAATATTGAAAACCTGGATATATTCATAAACATCAAAAAATTAAATCGGTAAATATCTATCCACAAGAAAGCATCAGGCTAAGTCTGTTGTTTATAGACAAGTATAACCAAATCTTAAAAAAACAGATAACCCTTATATTAAATAAGATATTCCAGGGGCGCCCAGGTAGCTCAGTCGTTAAGCATCTGCCTTCAGCTCAGGTCATGATCCCAGGGTCCTGGGATCGAGCCCCGCATCGGGCTCCCTGCTCTGCGGGAGGCCTGCTTCTCCCTCTCCCACTCCCCCTGCTTGTGTTCCCTCTCTTGCTGTGTCTCTCTCTGTCATATAAATAAATAAAACCTTAAAAAAATAAAAATAAATAAGATATTCCAGAGAATAGAAAAAATAGAGAAAGTTCTTTTTATAAAGAGCTCATTTTATAAAGTGAGTATAATCTTATGCTCAAAATCACAAAAACTGTATAATAAAACACAATAGGACATTCAAATATACTAACATCAATAAAAGAAATTCTACACAAAATATTAGCAAATTTAATCAATTTAATAATGCTGTGTGTCTATATATATCATCTACAGATCTACGTATGTACACACAAATACTTACATGTATCTACACAAACTACATCATGATCAAGTAAGGCTTATCCCAAGAACTCAATGATCAATTAATGTAATTTGCCACATCAACATATAAAAGAAAACTCATATGATCTTTTAGAAAGATACAGGAAAAAAATTCAATGTCTATTCATCACCTTTTATAAGAATCTCTTAGCAAGTTAAGAGTACAAGGAAATTTCCCTCACCTGATATTTAATGGGATAATTTTAAAAGCATTTACTTTAAAGTTAGAAACAAGGTAAGAATGTTTGTTACTACATACTGCTTATATTCAACCTTTCCTAAGTATAGGAAATGCTAACCAACTTTAAAAGTATTAAAAGAATAAGGACTGAAAAAAAAATAGTCATTATTTTCAGATAACATTATTATGTAAAAGATCTCAGGGATTCTACAAATTGCCAAAACTAATAAAGATAGTTCAACAGGGTTATTGGATACAAGATCAAAATCTAAATATTTAATACCATTCCTATGTACAAACAATAACCAAGTAGAAATGTAATAGAAGATCTCATTAGCAACAGAAACAAAATCATAATGTACCTAAGAGTATGTCTAACAAAATCAGAGTAAGACCCCTATAAAGGAAATTATAAAACTTTATTGTCAGGCATAAATGGAAACACAAATGAATGAGAATATACTATGCTGGTAGACAGGAAGACTAAGTTTCATGAAAATGTCTATTTGCACTAAATTAACTTTATTAATTCAATTCCAAAAGAAATCCCATGAGGGTTGTTAACAGTACTTGACAATAGGACCCTATAATTCACATGTGAGAGAAGATACTGAAAATAGAACAATTTTCAAGAAGATGGACAAGGTGGCAAGACTTACCTGAAACAGCCTTCATCATATTATAAAGCTCTTACAATTCAGATGATATAAGATAAACAAGGATAAACAAATCAACCACACAGAATAGAGAACCCAGAAACAGATGAAATATATATGGCTATCTGATGAATGAAAAAGCTGACAATACAAATCACTGGGAAAAGGAAAAACTATTTTAAAAAATGATCCTGAGAAAATTAGTTACACATATGGGGAAAAATCAGATCACTGGCTCACAAAATAAATCCCAGATGATTTTAAAAACTTAAATCTAGAAAGCAAAATTATAACACTTTTAGGGAAAAAAATACGAAATTAGTCATATGGCATCAACTAAGGAAAAGCTTGTTTAGACAAGACACAAAAAAAGTACAAGCATTAAGGTGAAAGGCTGAAACTTTTTACACAGTGAGTTTTAAAACTTCTATATATCAAGACCACATAACAAAGTAAAAAGATAAGATACAAAATGGGACAAATTTATAATGCATACAACCAAAAATGAATTATTATAAAGAACTTCTAAATCAAAAGGAAAACAACAACAAAAAGGAAATAAAAATAGGCAATTCACAGAAAAGAAATTCCAAATGGCCAATAAACATATGAAAGGTTGCTCATCCTCACTAAATGTTAGGTAAATGCAAATTAAAACAAAATAACATTTGATACTATAGTCTATATAGTCTGTAGTCTAAGTATCAGCAAGTATGTAAAGATAAGGAAATCTTACATACTGCTGGTTGAGGCATAAACTGATATAGGTACTTTAGGGAATGATTTAGCCACACAGTGTAAAGTTGATAATGATTGCAACCAAGAAATGCATACCCTAAAAAAACTTTCACACGTATTTGTAAAGAAACATGCATAAAAGTGATCATTGCAGCATTATTTTAACAATTAAAAACTGGAAATGGTCTAAATGTCCATAAATCCGTGTGTCACTATAGACAAATCTCAAAAACATAATAGTGAAAAAAATAAGCTCCCTCGGGACGCCTGGGTGGCTCAGTCAGCTGAGCATCTGCCTCTGGCTGAGGTCATGATCATGATCCCTGGGTCCTGGGATCTAGTCCCGCACAGGGCTCCTTGCTCAGCGGGAAGCCTGCTTCTCCCTCAGCCTGCCGCTCCCCCTGCTTGTGCTCTGACAAATAAATAAATAAAAATCTTTTTAAAAAATAAATAAATAAGCTCCAGAATATGAATAGTATAATATCATTCGTATGAAGTTTAAAACATGCAAACAATGGTTTATATGAAAACTTTTCACAATGATAAAGATGTTCTGTATCTGCACCATCCAATACAGTAGCCTGAGCTACATATGGATATTAAACAGTTGTAATGTGGCTAGTGTTCCTAAGGAACTGAGTGTATTTTATTTTAATTAATTTAAATTTAAGACTCAAATGTGGTTGGTGGCTACCATATTGGCAGAGCAGGTCTATATGATTTATGGATACATACATACATAGAAATATAAAAACTTAGAGGAAGAATACACACCAACTTCAGGATAATGGTTACTTACTTCTGGAGAAGTAAGGTGGGTGGGAATGGAATGTGAAGGGATTCAACAGTCTCTGGGATCTTTCATTTCTTTAAAACAAAAAAAACATATAAATCAAATATGTCAAAACACTTTGTTAAAATTGACTAATACTTTTTCTAATATTTCCTATTTCAAATGTTTCATTTTCATTTCTTTGAAGTATTTATTAAATTTTTAAATAACTTTTTGAAAGTAAACAGTGTTTAAATCTTTATCATTCCTATAGACCTAAACCCAGGTGATCAACTCTCATACAAATAGTCTCAATGAATATATATATATATACACATATATATGTATATAAACATTGAGAAAAGCAGACAACACAGCAAAAACTGTGACACAATATACTTGCATAGTTTCTAACTTGATTTTTACAAGCAATTTTCAAAGGTCCAAATGAAATTTCAAAAATGTGTTATTTTATTTAGATTCTAAATATACCAAATGGAAATGACCATGTGTTTATCGTACAGATTAATTAGAAGTATTAAAAGTATATTAAATAAAATAGTGAAAATAGCACTGGACCAGGGTCCAGGCAATTCATATTAACTTTCTAATACCAGTTTGTATTAACTTTCTGTGTTCTATTCACCAAGTTTGCTCATTTGTACAGGATGACCCATAGAATCTCTGCATTCACTGTCAATTTTTTTAAGATGGGAACTTTTCAAGTTTCATTTATTCTTTTACATACATACTTAATAAGTTGTTTAGAATAATCACTCCTTTGTATCAAAGTGTCAAAAACCTGCACACCTGAAATCCAAATTCCCTTAATTGCTGTCTCATTGTCCATCAGATAGACAGAAAAATAGAGGATTAAATATATGATCAGCTAGTCAGTGGTGCATGGCTCTCAAAAAACCTCATTTTTGAAAGCTGAAAGCTCTTCTAATAGGTTGTTAATTTTCTTGTGGATAATACAAGATCCTGAACAGAATATGTGATTCACTATATAAACTGCATCTTTGCTCACATAAATGTTTTTAATTCACAAAAATGTAAAACTTATGCGTAGTTCTAGTGAATATTTATGCCTCCTTTTACAAAAATACTGAGCATCCTTAGAAAGAAAGGCAAATACAACTACTCACATGTGTAACATTAACCTGAGATCCCAATTTGTCCAGTGATCTACCCATGTTATCATGCATCCAAGGAATGTGGAAGAATTGGGTCTCCTTTGCTATTCACGCACACAACTTTTAGTTACATCACAAAGTGTGTTACAGAAACACCCAGAGCAAAGAAGAGAAGTTTAACTGTTTACGATCTGTTCTGACTAAGCAGCATGACTATTATTAAATGGTGAGGCTTTGAGGTTAAGTTATTTTGGCTGGTGGTACAAAAGGCAAGAAATGGTGGTAATTATCTCTTACTTTTTAATTTATTTTGTGGCAAAATTATTAAGACATTTCTTAGTTCTATTACCTTTCATAAAATACGTACAGAACTTAACAAATACTCCTGAAATTAACTTCCCAACCTTGCTGGGGGGTGGGCAGTATTCTTACTGAACATTAAGTGAATGGTTTGGCCACACTGTGTAAAGTTGATAATGATTACAACCAAGAAATGTACACCCTAAAAATAGCATAGGGGAAAATTCAAGCTTGGAGTACAAGGACTGGACATTAGGGAACAGAATGCCCCCTACTCAAAGAGGGGGGAAAAAAGCATTTTATGGTTCTTTAATCCTAACTATAATAGTTAACCCTCATGGAGACCACCATAAACCCGGAGTTAATAGATAAGATTATGGTGTATTTGAATATAAAATTACAATGTAGTTTGAAACACTCAACTTCCTTTCATATTCTATTATATATTCAAAGCAAGGATAACACTGCTGGTTGTTAAATACAGGGCTACTTAAAGGAACACTTTTTTTAAGTCCAAGGATTGAAAGAGAAGAGAGAAAACGTATTTTCAGCTTGATATTTCTAGTAACATCTAATACTAAATATTCTATACCAAGTACTGAACATGAAAAAATTTGTTACTTTTTGATAACTCTAAATTAAAAATTGCCAAACAAGATGGGAGAAAAATGAACAGAAGGGCACTATCTTCATATTTAAAATATAGAACTCAAAGACATACATTTTTCTTCTCCCAGCTTGCAACCTACCAAGTAATTTTTACCTCTGGTACCCATTAAAAAATGAAATTTATTTGGGAGTTCTAGGAGTAATGAAGTGAGAGGTATTGTCATAAAGTCTGGCCAATTTGCCTGCAAATTTAGGAAACACTGATAGCATATAAACTTGAAATTATTTGTAAATTACCTGCCACTCACTCATCAGTAAGAACTTAAATGTTATTAAAATACCTCTTTTATTCCATTTAAGCTCAAGAAATATTTTAGTTGGAGCTTCTTGCGACTGACATATTGAATTAAACATGGAAGCAGATCTACTAACATTATGCAACAGTATAACTAACAATCAAAAATGCTAAATAATTAATTTTAAGGAATCTTAAGCTTGGATTTAAGCTGTGATTAAAAAAATAAATATTTTATAAAACTAAAAATCTTTTTTAATTTTTTAAATTTCTTATAAGTTCTGAATTCAAACAACAGTATGATTAGCTCATGTAACAAAGCAAAACTGACAAATTTAAAGTAAAACTAATGGGTTCTCTTTATAAAGTTAAATTTCAAAAAGTAAAAACATTAATGAAAAAATAATATAAATTCTTTTTTTTTTTTATTATGTTATGTTAGTCACCATACAATACCATCATTAGTTTTTGATGTGGTGATCCACGATCCATTGTTTTCGTATAACACCCACTGCTCCATGTAATACGTGCCCTCCTTAATACCCATCACCGGGCTAACCCATTCCCCCACCCCCCTCCCCTCTAAAACCCTGTTTGTTTCTCAGAGTCCATAGTCTCTCATGGTTCATCCCTCCTTCCGATTCCGCCCCCCCTCATTTTTCCATTCCTTCTCCTCATGTACTCAATAATATAAATTCTTAATGCTTGCATTAATATCTTAGAAAAAGAATTTTTGGCTATCTTTCCAAAGTTGTATTTTCTTACATTTCAAGACAAAGAAACACTGTGTACAAGAAAGTGACATGTGTAAAGAGAGAATAATTTAGCATATGGATTTATTCCACCAACTGCAAGCATATGAAACCATGGGGTTTTACTCTTATGGTCCAATTTTTATATTTAACATAACTTTTAAAAACTATTTTATACGTCTGCCTTCAGCTCAGGTCATGATCCCAGGTCCTGGGATCGAGCCCCACATCGGGCTCCCCGCTCCGCAGGAAGCCTGCTTCTCCCTCTCACATTCCCCTTGCTTGTGTTCCCTCTCTCACTGCCTCTCTCTCTGTCAAATAAATAAATAAAATCTTTAAAAAAAAAACTATTTTATATAATTCCTTATTACATCAAAATTGTTTATACCTTGCCAGTGGAAAATTACTTCCATCTATAATTTTATCAAAGTCTGTGCTATGTAAGATAAATGTAATAATGTTATTGATTACATAGGGTAATTTCCCACTTCTTTTTATCACTCAAATATAAATTTATTACTTTCTCTATTTCTCTCAACTGTTGTCTCTTCTCACAAAACTACATACCTCTCCTTAGTACTTACAAGTATTTTAATTTAATTCTGAAATTATTTGGTTAATGTTCATGTTCTCCACTAGAATTTACTCCTGATTTATTCTCAGCATCTACCATACTGTCTGACTTAGGGCAAGCGATCAATAAATATGTCTTAATAAATGAACAGTAGTAAGAACAAAATACTGATTGTTTCTTTCACTTTTAGAAAATCTCTCCTGTTTTCTATTGGTCCTCAAAAAATTGGTGACTGACTGTATACATCACACCAGAAGACAGTCCTCAAATTGCAGCTGTACATCTAAGAAATACACCATTTTTATCTCTTTTGTATACCAATTTGTCTCTTTAATGTATAAATTTAAGGTAATAAACTGAAAACAGAATGCATCCTTAATAATACCTACATCCAGGGAAGATTTTGAGGATTTGTTGAAATGGTTCATAATGTGAATAGAAACCAATAGTTATGCAAACAACAAACTGACAGCCAACTTTTCATAATGCATTCAAATATTGGAGCCAGGACAATTAACTTGTACCTGGCACAGAAAAACAACACAAAAATGAATGAATGAGTAAAGTTTTCTCCCTAAAAGGAATTATCACTTCACATGCCTGTTGCAGTACTTTGGTTCATGAAGACACTACATATACATATATATATATGCATTACATGTAAATATACTGCACACAACTACATAGACACTCAAATTATCTTCATACATGGTATACAGATAAACAAAAAGATTAAAAAGTAGGATTACAAGACTCTAGAGCTGAAATCAATTTCAAATATAAGAATATATATGACCTAAAATCTATGTCCTATATTAAACTTCCCTCTAATCCTGTACAGACAACAGACAAAGTAGTATGCCTTTCTGGAGTATCCCACCCTACCTAATAAGTATTATGATTATTATCTCTCATATGAATGTAGTAAACAGAAATAACAATTTAATTTTTCCTTTTTCCTTTTTTTTTTTAAAGATTTTCTATTTATTTATTTGACAGAGAGACTGAGACAGCATAAGCAGGGGAGCAGTAGAAGGAGAGGGAGAAGCAGACTCCCCCCGAGCAGGGAGCCCGATGTGGGGCTCGATCCCGGGACCCTGGGATCATGACCTGAGCTGAAGGCAGACACTGAACCATCTGAGCCACCCACACGCCTCTCCTTTTTCCTTTATAACCCTTCTCATTCTATATCTAACAGCACTTTACAATTTAAAGGCATTTTCACATAAATTCTCACTTAAGCTAGATAGTAACCCTCTAAGTTATATGGGTAAGTAGTATTCGCCCTATTTTACACATGAGGACACTGAGGGCAAAAGAAGTTAAATGAATTGTCACAGACACAAAACTAGTAAGTAGAAAAACCAGGACCATAGCCCAGATGTTCTGACTCCATCTTTCCACTGCACCACAAACAGTAATATAAAGT